TCTCTCTCTCTCTCTCTCTCTCTCTCTCTCTCTCTCTACTCTCTTCACGTCTCTGCCTTTCACTATGCGTTTAGATATTCGTTACGAGGTCACAACATTGGATATAGCGCGTGGGTAGCAGCAGCAGCAGCAGCAGCAGCAGCAGCAGCACCACAACCACCACCACCAGCAGCACCACCACCACCACCACCACCAGCAGCACACCACCAGCAGCAGCACCACCACCACCAGCAGCAGCACCACCACCACCACCACCACCACCACCACCACCACCAGCAGCAGCACCACCACCAGCAGCAGCAGCAGCACCACCACCAGCAGCAGCAGCAGCACCACCAGCAGCAGGTGGCGCACAGGCCGCGATTTAGATCGAGAAGCACGAGCGACGACCGCAGCAAGTTTTTCCCGTCGCGCCAACGCCACGTGACGGCGGCCGCGAAAAATAATCCACCGCCGCTTCTAAATATAGCTCGGAAATTCGCCAGCCATTTTTCACACTTCCCGAAGCCAGCACAGCGCTCTCAAGAAAATCTCGCAAAAGGCGCTCGAGACGAATTGTGTGCGAATGTCGTCGCGCGTAAATGAAACCGTCAGCGGGAGCCACCTGGTGAGAAACACGCGCAGAAGGTGCGTTCGCGTCGATCACTCACGCTTACTTTCGTATCGATCGGCGTTCGCTTCCATAGAAACTGCACAACGATACGTCGCCGCCGCCGCTGCCGCTGCCGAGACCACGTGTGTACAATTGGCCGCGCAAATTTTCGCTTCTCGTCGCGCGGTTACCCTATGCACTTTAAGTCAATCTCGGCTGGTGGGTGGTCACCAACTACCCGCTATAGCGACAGCTCTGTTTTTTTCTACGTACCGCCCACTCGTTTGTGCGCCACGTGGCAAATAGCAAAGGGTAACTACGTCGCATAGAAACTAGAAATGTATACAATGAAACCAGAGTAATAGAACGATGATGACATAAAACACGAACGCAGTTTTTTAATATTTCAAGTAACCATAATTTTAATTCTATGCAGACCCCCTCATCATCATCATCATCACCATCATCATCATCATCATCATCATCATCATCATCATCATCATCACCATCATCATCATCACCATCATCATCATCATCATCATCATCATCATCATCATCATCATCACCGTAATTTACATTACGTGTCGATATAACAACACGGATAAAACTAAATGAATCGATCACGACTGCCTATTTTCAGCAGTGGAAGATATAATCAGATTGCAAGGTAAAACTACATTCGTATTATATAACAGTCGTATATATCGTATATATTCGCGCGGGAACGCTGCCGCCCGCGCACACGCGCTCGGTCGGCCGTACACACAGTAACAGATCACGACATTTTAAATACTCCGCTGCATAGGTGCTCCTCTCCCCCCACACACTCTCGTGATGTGCGTGTGTGTGCGATCACATGCCGGGGCTTTGTGCTGACAAGCACCACGCTACTCGTCTCGCAGCACTTTCACCCCCGTGCCTTCCTCCACGCGCGCACGCACCTGCCAGCTTGACTATAACCTCTCTAATATATCTACCATCGCATGTTCACCTACGCAAGCGAACTACGACGAGTGTTCTATACAGCGTGCGAGCGCGCAGCACCGATGCCACACATACGTCACGATGCGCACGTTCCAGAAAGCACCCGGGATAACCACAATACCGGATCCATATCGTATGGCCACGACTCTGATCTCATCCGGGATAACCACAATACCGGATCCATATCGTATGGCCACGACTCTGATCTCATCTGGGATAACCACAATACCGGATCCATATCGTATGGCCATCATCACGGTCCGATCCCTCGCTGTGCTAATCCCGGGTTTCATCGCATCCATTCACAACCTACATTCCCTACTAAAAGCCATCAGGGTTACTGCCCACTCACACTGCACCACCGATAAACTAGCAGCGGTCGGTCTCCCCGGACAAGCCCCCCACGTACACCACCTCACAACACACACCACCTACAAACCAGACAACCACCAACCCAACCCCCGTGTGGGGTGATACTCCATTAAGAGTGTTCCCAACTTTAATGTCATTAATGGTCATAATAACATATATATATATATATGGTCATGGTCATATATTAGTTTGTGGTTTAATGTCATTTAGGTTAGGGTTAGGGTTAGGGTTAGGATTATCAATCATTAATCATTAATCATTAATCATTAATCATTAATCATTAATGATATCAAAGTTGGGAACACTGCTAATGGAGCGTTAGCCCCCGTGTGGCATAGAGCACGCGCTGCCGCCACCACCAGATGCTGAGTGCCTGTCACTGACAGAGCGACCTGTACGGAAGACAATGCAGCTGCAGAGTAGTCAAAGCTAGGCATACGTCAAAGATCTACATACGTCCAAAATAGACGCTAAAGCTGGACATATATCAAACCTGGGTATACTTCAAAGATACAGAGATAATAGCCGGAGAGAAGTCAAAGCTAGACATACGCCAAAGTCAGAAAGACGTTGTGAGTCACACACATCACCGATGAGAGAAGCCGGTGGGTGACAAGAGTTTCGACAGCAGAAATATGGTGGCCTAGAGACATCTGAAGCCCCAGAGACAACAACACAACCACAAACACGAACACAAAAACAGAAACATAACAAAATAAAGACGACCGCCCGGGGAGGATGAGCATCCACCCCATCCTTGTAGACACACGACTCCCGGAGCCCACGGAAACATGATGAATAGTTATGACATCACATAAGTCGAATATATATAATAAGTATAAAAAAGTCACAAGTTATATAATACGTCTAAAATATCGTAACAACTTCGTGTTGTGCAAGAGTCACGTCATTTTAGACGTAAGATCAAGTCGTAAGTATTCAAGATGTTGCTAACAACGGGCAGCAGCACGTCCTCAGCAAACACAAATGACTGGGGGATACATCGGAGCAGCTAGCGGAGAGAAGCTTTCCTTCACCGGAAGGCAAGGTGGTAATTCGACAAGCCTTTAAGAGCCCCCTGAGCCGCGATTCTACGAAACGAAAACGGCCATCGACGATGACAAGCGCCGTTGGGCACACAATGCACAATGTTCAGTCCGTTGACGGCAGCCGAGCTTAACGTGCACGCACGCGTACGCACGCACACCTAGAAGGTCATGTATATATACACCGACGAACCCAGACACGATCACACGCGCATGCGTACTGCATGCCCAGGCGCACGCGTACCGTGCCATCGTAGAGAAAAATGGGGGAATGTGAAAAGGCACATGTTGGCATATATTTTTACGAAAAGCGCATTAAATCTAGGAAAAAAATCAATCGCTAATCAGCCACAAATGGAAACGTGTGGCCACCTTTCCACCCACAGCCTACACCTATCCGTGACTACCACCAAGCCCCCATGCTAACGAAAGAGAAAGGGTGTTCGCAGTGGTAACAGAAGAAAAGAACCACCAGCACTGCTCGCAATTATCTAGACCATGAGTTTTCCTCTCTGCCGATTGCACGAGCATCAATTCGATTCACGCGACCTCTACTAGCAGTCATAATTAAGATCCTCACTTTACGGTTTCCGCGGTCGGTTAGGTTAGCTACTTAGCCGACAGTTTCATCCTTAGTTCGGGCTGGCTTGCTAACGGTCGAAGCATACGATTCGAGCCTCCGCGTGGCGCCGAAAAACTTGTGGCTGCAACTCCTACACACCGAGGCAGTGTCAATCGGAGTATTAGTAACACTTTGCCTGACAAGTTGTTCACAATCTCGATGGCATGAATTTTAACAATTTCATTGCACTGATTTCCGGAGCACTGGCAGAAGAGGAGACACTAATGCCTACAGGCTAGTAGTAGGAGGAGAGAGTGATAGAGCGAGGAGGCAGATTGAATGGACAGATGGATGGATGGACGCAGGTACGGTTGGACAGACAGGCAGACGGATGGACAGACAGGCAGACGGACGGACAGACAGAGACAAGCAGACTGATATACAGACAGAGACAGACAGACGGGCCTACAGACAGAGACATGCAGACGGATAGACAGCTAGATAGACAGATAGACAGATAGGTAGGTAGGTAGGTAGGTAGGTGGATAAGTAGATCTAGATAGCCCCACCAACATATGCAATACGACAAGATCACAAGCTCTAATTCGAATTACTACCTCTACTGCATAAGTGATCGTGCTTTATGTAAGAATAACAAGCATTTTCATCACTTCAGTGCAACCATCGGAAAGTTGCAAGCACGCACGACACGTGCAGAGCAAATATCGAGCATTAGCCTAGAATGTGCAAGCGAAGCACGCATCCTGATTATCCAGATATATCGCAGTTCAGTACACGCAGAAAAAAAAAGGTTCGCGATTGCACGTCATTCCTCCCCGCCTGCGTGCGTGGATGCAAAGTACATGCACGTAGGGCTACTGCCACCTCTGTCACGGGGAGGAAAGTAACGACCAGGGTTCTTCCTCACACGATCTCTCACCACACGCATCTTGCTCTGTGTCATCATTATCACACGCTCGCATCACACGAGGTCGGCGATCATTATAGGCCTTCTCCGTTCAAAGTGATGACTTCTAGCCGGACCCCGCATCAGACGAGAGCGTGCGCTGCATTACCGGGACAACTAAACATAGTCGACCACACGCAACGAATCCGGGGAATCGTCCGCCGTCAATCTAAAACCACTCACGCGCGCTCTCGTCTGCGCAGCTCGCCGCGCGTAATACCTCGTCGCCGCACGGACTGCAGGCACCGGTCGTCGCGAATCCTGCACGCGACACGACTCGGCGCTGCACGAACCGCGGATTTCCACCGGCAGGTGGCGCTCACACGCTCGCAGTGACCGCTGCTATCTCTTCTTGTCGGCGGCGTAGACGGAGATGAAGTAGTCGGTGTATCCTGCTGCTAGGTTCAGCTGTAACAGAGAACAGAAGCCATCGGTATACCACCGCAACCTCGTAAATAACATTCTTCATAGCCCAAGAAATGGTAACGAAGAAGGCGAGAGCCTAAAGATGATCCGATAATCAGACTAATACAATGGCTTGCAGCAAAAAAAGGTAACCGGCACCAAAACACATAGTAAATGTGCTACTCGACTGCAATATCTTTCTCCTCCTTTAAAAATTGCATTTCTTAGTAGCATGGAAATGGAAACCAAGAAGGAACAACAAGGAAATACCACCGGGAGTCTGCAAATTACGATACCCAACCTATTTTCGCTGATTATTACATATCAGTGCTCAATTACTTATTTCGAAGTACCAACGCAATCTAAAGACTGTGACTAGCACAGAATACAAACCTGTACTTCACTTGAACCAATCGAGATACACGGTTTACGTGCCCAACTCTTTCCATTATATGATTAGGTGAACTTCTAAGCACACACGCAGTTGCTACTACCAACACGTACTAGAGCAGTGTTAGAAATAGCATGCCATCCCAACGACTGGCACTAGTAACTTTCGAGCAGAACTGGCCCGTATGGATTGTACCATTCGGTATATAGTAGCATTAAAATTTTTCTAAATCAGAACTGGCTGGAGTTTCAGGCTCATTTTCGAAACTGGCTGGTGAGATTTTAAGCTGCAAATGGCAATTCAATTTTAACCGCTAAGCCTCTACATAGGTACCTTATATGGGTGGAAGCTCAGACACCTGATCGGTCCTATGCGCTGCCCCATGAAGCCGTCGTGATATTTGATTGTGCTCAAGCAGTCTCCCATCATGTTGTAAATGCTGATGTTCTGATTGACAGACCCACTGAAAGGTCAAGCGTAATCCGATGGTGACTTAAAGCTTGGTGAGTGGGCTGATACATGCCGGATCGCTCGCACTACAAAGCGGATTCTGCACGCATGACACACTGCGGGCAAACTTACGAGGATACAATAAAGAATAGATGGACGTAGGAGGCGTATTGTGAGTTGGGAAGCCTTCATGAATTACGTGGTGGATGGTGTGGGAAAAACATACGAGAACCTATAAAAATGCCATGACTGCTAATAAGCGATACGGAACCTATACTGACATAGCTTCTGTCATCACGCCATACTCGAACCTACATGAACATCATAATATAGGTTACATCATAACCTAAAGCTGCAGGGCTCCCGCGTTGCACCCCGTGGACTCGCACGTCTCACACCGCGGCCTCCCGCGTTTCACCCCGTGGACTCGCACGTCTAACACCGCGGACTCGCGCATCTCACAGTGCGGACTCGCGCGTCTAACACCGCGGCCTCCCGCGTTTCACCCCGTGGACTCGCACGTCTCACACCGCGGCCTCCCGCGTTTCACAGTGCGGACTCGCGCGTCTAACACCGCTGCCTCGCGCGTCTCACAGTGCGGACTCGCGCGTCTCACAGTGCGGACTCGCGCATCTCACAGTGCGGACTCGCGCGTCTCACAGTGCGGACTCGCGCGTCTCACAGTGCGGACTCGCGCGTCTCACAGTGCGGACTCGCGCGTCTCACAGTGCAGACTCGCGCGTCTCACGCTGCGGACTCGCGCGTCTCACAGTGCGGACTCGCGCGTCTCACAGTGCGGACTCGCGCGTCTCACAGTGCGGACTCGCGCGTCTCACAGTGCGGACTCGCGCGTCTCACAGTGCAGACTCGCGCGTCTCACGCTGCGGACTCGCGCGTCTCATGCCGCGAAATTGCATCTCACGCCGCGGAATTGCGTCTCAAGCCTCGCACATCTCACGCCGCGCCATCGCGTGTCTCACCATGCCATGACGTCGGCGTGTGCGTGCATGTCCATTGCCGTGAGACCCTGCGCCGCACGTATCGTCATCACAGACTCGGAGAAGCGCGGATCCCAGATTTTGACGTCGCCGCCAACGCTGCTGCTGATGATCTTGCCGTCGCCTCGCCGCTGAAGGTGAACGCTGACCACCCAGCCGCTGTGCTCCCTCAGTGTCAACACCAGACTACAATCACAGACACATGTCAAGCTTCAATGTCAACACCAGACTACAATCACAGACACACGTCAAGCTTCAATGTCAACACCAGACTACAATCACAGACACATGTCAAGCTTCAATGTCAACACCACACTACAATCACAGACACATGTCAAGCTTCAATGTCAACACCAGACTACAATCACAGACACATGTCAAGCTTCAATGTCAACACCAGACTACAATCACAGACACATGTCAAGCTTCAATGTCAACACCAGACTACAAGCAC